GGCCCCGGCCCCCCACCCTCCCGCACAGGCGGCTGCCCTCGCTGGGCTACTGCCACGCAACTGGAGATGGCCACAGCAGCGCAGCTTGGAGAGCTCCAGAGTGCCTCGCTCCCGGCACTGGGGAGGGTCATTGGGCCGGTTGGGCCCGGTGTGGCTGCAGCAGAGAGAGAGTTGAGATCTGAGAGAAACAACTACACAGACACCAAAGTCAGTGAAGATGGAGCAGGAGGAGGTGTGCCGGAGCTGAGATTCCCTGGCAGCCCATGGTGAGATGGCAGGCAGCCCCTGCAGCCCATGGAGATTAATGGTGGAGCAGAGACCCACATGCTGCAGTGGGTGGCTGCACCTGAAGGAGTTTGTAGAGGACTGTCTCCCATGGGAAAAGGACCCCACACTGCTGGAGACTAATGCTGGAGCAGAGGTGCATCTGCAATCTGTGGAGGACCCCATGCCAGGGTGGGTGGCTGCACCTTAAGAAACCATGACTCCATGGAAAAAGCCCACACTGGAACAGTCTAATGTGTAAGGACTGGATTCTGTGGGAAGGACTCACATTGGAGAAGTTTGTGGAGAACTGTCTCCTGTGGGAAGGGACTCCACATTGGAGCAGGGGAAGAGTGTAAAGACTCCTCTCCACCTGAAGAGGAATAAGCAGCAGAAACCATGTGTGATGAACTGACTGCAATCTCCATTCCCTGTCCCCCTGTGCCGCTGGGAGGAAGGAGGTAGAGCTGGGAAGAAAGAAGGGGTGGGGGGAAGGTGCTTTTTAAGATCTGGCTTTGTTTCTTGTTATCCTCTCTGAATAAACTAGTAACAAATTAAATTGATTTGTCCCCAAGCCAAGTCTGTTTTGCCTGTGGCAATGGTTGGTGGATGATCCCTCCCTGTTCTTTTATTGATCCTCAAGTCTTTTGTTAGATTTTTCTCCTCTCCACCCCACAGAAGGAGCAAGGGAGGAGTGAGTGAGCGGCTGGGTAGTGCTTAGTTGCCACCTGGGGCTAAACCATGACAAAGCAATCCCATAATCCCAGGAATGGAGCTGTAGAGAAATAAACTACCATCTTGCAAAGTAGCATCAGTGATGGCTTTGCACACAGAGCCAAAGTTTCCTCAGTTTGGGAGTGTTTTCTGCTGTCTCACACAGCAAAACCCTGACTGCTCTGCTGCTCAGTATCACATCCCACTCTATTTCAGATTTATGCTGCTTCATATGTCTCTCAGAGTATTTGTGTTTTGAGCTTATATGTCCCTAGATGACTGAGCTTGCATTTTTCAAAGCTGAATCTCATTTACTTCTCTTGGTTTATACCTCTCTGGATCTTCTAGCATGGTGGGGTGGGAGGTGGGGGATGTTCCTCTTTGCATTTATAAGTGCAGCTTCTCCCAGCATAGCCATCATCTGCATATTTTACAGACAAGCTTGTCCTGCGCTGAAATTCTTGTCTGTGCAAACTCAATGCAAAACATCACCAATCCAGACAGGCTGCATCCTGCAGTATAATGGCTGTAAAATGGTATTCTACACCATCTCCCACTAGCCTGACTATTAGTAACACTCATATTTTCTCCACAAATTTCAGGTCTTCTAACTCAACATAACTGGGGAAAAAAAAAGCAAACATTTTGTTCCCTCTTCCCCAGCTGTCCACTGGTTCCCCAGTAGAGAGAAAACACTCCTTGAGGAGTTCACAGCTCATTGTTCAATGCCAAATTTTGCTCTCAGCTCTGCAATGATTTGCTGTGGATCCCTAGGAAAGGTACTTAATCTTCTTTGCACTTTGTCTTGTCTGTCTTTTTAACAAGGAACACAGTAATCCTAGTATTTCCCTCCAATAAGGTGCAGAGACTGGCATGACAATCGACTACTTTTAGGCACAAAATGTATTATTGGGACTCCAAAATCCAAACGACAATTGCCTCTTACAGCAGAAACACAGACTGTTCTCCCCTCAACTCATGGTTTCCCTACCTCCTTTGTCTTTTCTCACAGCTTCCTTCTTTCAGTATCAGTGCCCTTACTCTGTCACATGACACATAAGCATTGCCAACGAGTTTCTCCCCTCTGCTGATCTGTCCATCCCTCGTCAGCCCACAGATAATCTCGTTTATTCCAGATGTTAGCAGAGGAGCATCTCTTTTTTTCCTTTGCTCTAAAATAATCTCCTTTTTTTGCCATTATTTAAATTCTCATTGTAATGAGTTGCTATACTAAATGCTCTAGTATTACAACAGCATCCTTTTAATCAGAATTTATACAGGTTTTCTGCATAGGCACCGAACCACTGACTATTCACCTTTACATTTGCACCAAAGACAGACAGTAACCACTGAAATCAGAAATAAAGAGACAAAAAGAAACCAAGACAACAAAGCAGTTGATTTTCCCTTCTGCAAGAATGGTCACTGCAGCAGAAGTGATGGTATCGCTTAATGACTAATCAGGCATAGACATCAATCACACAAAATGCCTTTTGAGTGACAGTTACTTCTGAGAGAGAACAGGATGCCAAGCAAGTAACTCGTTTGAGAGTGACAGCTGAGGAAGAGGTATCATACAGGCAAGCAGCTCTTGACTGACACATCTCCTGCAGGACTGAGGACGCCAGCAACAAGCCATTTGAACTGGCATGTTCACAGTTTCTGGTGGATAGCTCATTTCCTTTTTCTTTTTCTCCCTACTTCCTCTTCTTAGTCTCTTGCTGGATATTTTAAACCAATTGTCCCCCTCTACACTGAAAACGAACGAACAAAATTTATCTGAAGGACTCCCTGCATGGGATCAGTAGGATTTGGGGCAGCATGGCCTATTGGTGTGCTGGCCTGGTCCCCCGGCAGCTTGCAGGTTGAGTAGCAGGTCCAGCTGCCTGTTGCCTTTACCTGAGGCAGAGGAGGAAAATGGCTGGAGCCCACAGCAGCAGGCAGGCATGCAGTCCACGCTGGCTCTGGGGACCAGGAGGGACAAGTGACAGGATGCCAGAGGGAAGACATTATTCCTTCCCACAGTCACTCCTCTACTTCCCCCTCTCCCTCTTACGCAAACATTTCTCTCACCCTCAAGTGGCAACAACACCACATCGCTCCCAGTGCATCCACCTGGCAGCAGAAATCCCAAGGGCAGCAGGGAGAGCCTGGCAACTGCTGAGCTGTCTGGGTGCTTGTGCAAGTCCATGTGTGCACACATGCAGGTGTGGTTAGCAAGAAGGGTCCACAGATCAGGATCTGGCCCCTACAGCTGCCACGTTTAGATCACCCTGAAATAAACTATAATGCAGGAGTCTCATCTCTGGGTCACTTCCCGAGACCTTTTGGTACCAGCATTGCCACTCAGCTGAGTTACTTTGCATAGCTGTCAGAATAACACAGTAAGACAGTATCTAGCTCAGAGGAGCACATTTAAGCTCCCCCTAGTCTTCATTTAATATTTCTTCCATTCTGGTACCCTTTTTATATATTTTGTCCTAGAATTTCCTAAAGTTTTACAGCTATTTTTGAGTGCCCAAATTTAGACACTCACCATCTAGGCTTGCAAAGATCTCAGGTACGAAAACTTCAACTGGTAGTACACATTCTACCCTAAATCTAAAGACTGGGCCTCTAAAAAAGTCTTCAGCCATAGAAAATTCTGCTCATTTCCATCAGTTGTCCTCTTCCACCCCCACTTCTCTCATAGCATCCTCATAGTATAATTACGATAACTAACCTTGAGGAAAGGCCCATAATAACGGTCAAATCATACTTAACTTTCACCAGATGCATCTCAAATGGTTAATTATAATTACCTAAATAATGGTGCTCTATCTGGCTTAAGAAGGCTTTTATCGATATAGAAATAATGACAAGCTGCAGGCCTGACTAGTCAGCAGGTAAGCAGGCAGTGCAATTTTATGCCTCCTGTTGCTTAATATCACTGTGGTCCTCTGCAGACTCACAGCAAGGTCACAAGCCAAACAGAACAGAAGAGTCCGGTTCCTTTGATACTTGACTTATCCCGAAGTAAAAATTACATAGCATTTGGTGCACTGACTGCGTAAGCGAATTGAGTGACAATTATACTCACAGCAGTAACTCAGCCTGGCACATTCGGATGTGTTTTGCTGAAAGACAGGACTCTCCAGTTACAGAAGAAGCCTTGAAGAGCATGTGAAATCTTCAACACCCTCTACAACATCAGTGTCAACCTGCAAGTGGGACTCAGCCCCATGGTTGCAATGGTACTGCCACGACCTGAGCCTTCACCTCAGTGTATGGTTGTCAAAACTCCTGTGCCTCAAAGACAGGGCTGCTAGCCAACGCTCACTTGGGTGACACTGCAAATACTGTAGAGCTCAAGAGGAATTCAGCCTTCGGGATCCCTCATCAGACAGGGATAAATCATGGACACTTCTGACATTTGATGTAAGCAAGGAGTAAATCAATCACATGCACTGGCTGTAAACCATCTGGCAATGAAGGCTCCAGCTGTAGCCAGAGGTTTGAGAGGAAATGCCATCCAACTCACCATTCACAGCCGAGTGCAGCCACTCCCTCACACAGTGGCAGCAGGAGTGCAGGGACCAGTTTGAACAGATGGGTCATCCATTTTTCAAGGTCTTTGTTAGGGAAACTGTGTTGCAGGAGACCACATCTGAGAGCCTGGTAATACCACAGCTTGAGTGCTGTGTCCAGTTCTGGGCTTTCCAGAACAAGAAAAAGGGGGACATGCTGAAGCAGGAAGAGAGAACCACTAAGATAATTAAGGAACTGAAGCATCAGATGTATGAGATGAGGTTGAAACAGCTGGGGTTGTTTAGCCTTTAGAAAAGAATGCTCAGAGAGGTTGCAGAATCTCCATCCTTGATGATACTAAAAACTGACTAGGCAAAGCCCTGAGCAACTTACTCTAGTTGCCCTTGCTTTGAGCAACCCTGGCCTTTTAATGCATCAGCAACACTCATCTGTTCATTAGTACACATCACCTCCATAGGATCTGGATATCAATTTTTCTCTCTATGCATTACTGATGCTCTGAATGTCATGTTCTTTTCATTTTAACTATCATGGCATTTGGCTATTTGATTGGCTGCCCTGAGATTTCCTTAAGGATCCCACTACCATGGTTTCTGAGCACCTAACCATTTATTGTCTGACCTATGATGTAATCGGCAGAAATCTCCTCCCGTTGCCCTAGCAGCACCGTAGTTCCAAACAAGTCTCTCATTTTCTGAACAGTGGCGCCGTAGAACTCATTTTATGGTTCAAATGAAAAGGAAATGATAGAGGTAAAAAGGCAAAATGTGTTAATGCAATATATACAGGTCTCCAAAAAAACAGCAGCACCAAACCTGGCAGATAGAAACCCAGCCTTCTAACCGTGAGGTCAACTTCAAAAAGCCTGTTATTTATTCACAAAGTACATTTCTCTAAGGCCACAGGATCTGACAGGGGAAGAAGTGGTGATGATGAATAATGCATTCCTGTTAGTGATACCATCAGCTGAACCTTCTAACTGGACAATTCACTCTTCCTTTGGCCTCCACAGGCTGTTCCTGGACCTGCTTGCAGGCTTCAGAGACCCTTTGAGAAATGACTTGCTAAGTTAAAGAGGGCAGAGGGCATTTTTTTTGTGTAAAAACTAAAAGGAAAAGAGCCTCCCTGGGTTCTGTGGGGGTGATGGGGAAGGGAAGGAGCAGATGGAACGTTGCTTTGTGGTACAGATAATTGCATAATTGCATGCTCCCGTCTACTTGGGGACTCTGACAGGCCCCATGTCACCCATTTACTTGGTTAGATTTGGCCACTGCTGATACTCAGATACGAGGAGACACTGGAACAAGATAGCAAGTGTCCTGCAGGGTCCGCAGG